CTGCACCCCTTCCCTTGCACCCCATCTCTCAGGCGGCAGCCAGTGCTCTGAATCCACGTTGGCGTCTAGCTTAATTCAGCTGAGAAGCAGTTTTATGCTGTTTTTCCAGGGTGCACTCGCATACGTGTGCACACTGTCGGCTGGCGTTGCTGTTTCATAGCTGCAGAGCTTCGTTTAAGGATAGAGCACAAGGGTGGTGTGACACAACACTGTGTTACTCTGCCTATGCCTGTTTTCTGTAATTTACTCTCTGTAATAATGCAAGCATTAGCCTTAGTGCCTTGTCCGTATCCTAATTTGGATGATACATTTGTGCAGTTTCGTTGGAATCAGTCTTCATCATTCCCGCTCTTGAACCGTGAGGCGGTTTTGTAGCAAGTTACTCAACAGTTGCTAAATTTTATGGGGGACGGCTACACATTAATTGCAGTTGAAAAGAAGAAAGAGCCTAGCGTGCTTCTCACTATGTTTATCCAGCTGCTCATGTAATTGTTTTATGTGTTTCTGATGAAAAATCATGGGCTGTATGCCACCGATGTACAGTTATTTCATATTAGAATTTTGTGTCCAATCTAATTTAAAGAGCATTGTGTTGTATTATGGAGGAGCTGGTAACTGTCTCTGCATTTAGGCTGCCAAATACTCTGTATTATTATATACAATTATTTCACTCTTTTTTTTTTTTTTTTTTCCCCCTGATAAATTCTCAGTTCAGTGGCATTAGCTGCAGGATGTTGATACTTGGCAGAGAAAATGACCTGAAGCTATAAATGTGACTTTTCTGTGTAGAGAGGATCCTTCATTCTCATGAACTTCTTCCAGTTTTTGCTGAGCTGTATATTGTCAAAAAAGATCATTTCCCTTTCCCCAGGGACAGAAAAGCTTTCTTTTACTTTTTTTTTTTTTCCCCCCCAGGAAAATAAAATATATATATATATATATTCCTTATTAAAGTAATATTTGAACTGAGATGTGAGTAGCAAAATCAAGTACCAAAAGTGAGGTAGCACCAGATCTATGTACTCTGGACAACCTGAACTTGTAATGCAATTAATTAACACTTAATTAATGGGGAGTTTGATGTGTTGAGTGATGAGCCACTTGGATCAGAAATGACAGTTGTACTTTGAATCCATCAGCATCGATCCCCTTCTTGTTTAAAGGGTATCATGAGTCAAGGGCTTCTCTGGCTGCTTTTCCTTCATGGGGTCAGTGTCAGAAAAAATGTCAGCTGAGAGAGAAGAGACTCCAGTTTTGTGATTCTTATTTCATTGTCAATTGCTCACCAAATCGTGATGGGTCAAAAAGAATTGATATCCCACAAACTTTGCACAATAATGAATTCCTACCTCTGCTTTGTGTATGCTGAAGGACGGTGGTGAAGATAGTGGTGATAGAAAATATGAGAGCTGTGAGAATAGATGGCCTTAGGCTCCAGAAATTTATCTACTAGACCTCAGCTGCAAGAACAGTACTTTTATGTTGCCTTAACAACTGCAGAAAAGATTTAAGTCACTGATGTTATTGGGATGAGAGAAATGGAGGAGAAAGATGCAGAAGTTAAGTACTTCTTATTCATAGTTTTATCAACTAACTGGATGTATGAACAAAACAGATATTAAAAGAAAAAAAAAAAAAAAAAAAGAAAAAGCACATTATAATGGACATTTACCTTTCATGGAACTCTTAAAATACTGGTGCTTCTCTTCAATAGCTTTAAAGCTGTGTTGAGCACTGGAGATAAGGGAGAAGAATTTCTATTTACGGAGTTTTGAAGTCTCTCTCCTATGTTCCGTTCTTTCCATTTTCTTCTCATCCAATAAAGTTTTAATTCTTTTTTATATCATTGTTTGTTGTCATGGAAATATCTGAAGGCTTTGGATATAGACTGATTATGGCTTTATTGTGGAGAGATGAAGAAACTGGAAAACAGACTTCAACGGACAGACCTCCCATTTAAAAATCATGTACCTCCAGCAAATTGCAGAAAAGCAAATGCAGGATTCTTATTATATCCAGGCGCAGGAAACATTTGGACTTTTATTATAAATGTATTTTAAGAACAGAAGATAGCATCTGGTGTATTCTTTCAAAGGTTATGGTTTAGCAACTATCATCAGCGAGTAGTGCTGATGAACTAGCAGTAATCCAACAAAATAACATAAAACCCAGAATGTGCTCTAATGACTTCACAGTTGTTTATATGGCAGCAAACATCTGGAAGCAGACTTCAAAACAGTGCTAGTTTATTAATCAGCAAAGCTTTGCTCCAACACCACTAATTTGGAAGCATCTGTTTTAGTATTAGCTTTTCAGCGGGCTTCAGCTCTTTGTGCCGCCAGGTCACACCCTGGGCATTAATGTCCCTCTTCATTAGACTTGTACAGCAAGTGGAGAGAGAACATGGTTCTTCGCAGGTATGTTTATTCCGGGTCAAACTGCATAGTATTTATTAAGTAAGTTCTAGCATGAGAGTAGTAGACGTATCCTGTATTTTTTAGTATCATTGGATGTTCTCTGTAAATGTCAGCAGGTTTTGACTCAAAGCTGTCCTGGCTTTGGATGGGAATACTCACCTCACTTGCATGCATTTATTAATCCTCATTATGGTTTGAGTTCTGTTAGTGCAAGAACATACAGGATGGGATTGCATAGTTAATTATTGCCGGTCATACTTTCTTGTTGATACTTCTATCTCGGGTGAAGTGGGGAGTGATAACTTGGCTCAATTCACCAGCAAATCTGCTGTTAATCCACTTTGTCTTCACTCAGTGGTTATACAGGCTAAATACCCATGACTGGATACAAATTGAGAACAATATGAGCTGAAGAATTCACAATCAGACAAAATTGAAAGTATCTTGAGGAGGAATTTGAGCCTTGGATTTTATTGTGTTTAAATTGGTGGTTTCTGAAAGGCAGTTTGAACAACTTTGCCTTCCCTAATGTTTGCTAATTCTGTGTTACATACATGATGTGTTCAGTGCAAAAGCATTATGTGCATCAGAGACAAAGGAGTGCGATTTAAATTAACTCTGGTAGAACAGCCCATAAAAATGGGAAGATGCTTAAACCAACAGTCCTCTGCCATAAGTTGCAGCCCCATCTTCCTGCCCACGAGCAGTCTGACAGCATTTCTGTCACAACCCAGTGCCCCAACTCGCTGTCACCTTTAAAACTTACAGAAGAAATGAATGTAAATGTCTGTATAGGTTCAGATTATGAATGTCTCAGGAAAAGGTGTGGTATTACAAAGTGGCAGTGATGTGGTGGTCGGGCAGTTAACTGTGGTACCCTGTTAATCGTAGGGAAATTAATGATTTTTAACATGTGACATAGCATGCAATTTCCATTTGTTAATACAGAAAAAAGTTATGGAGAACTACCTTTTGGATGATTCTGATGAAAATTGCTATAAATTCCCGTGTAACTCTACACGAAAAAAAAACCCTACCTGTGAAAATTGCATCAAACACAATGATATCTTAATCTACCTTCAATTTCTGCTACTGAATGGCACAAGGTGCCTTCGAGGGATGAGTGAGATCTTGTCTCACTGTGCGTATTTGTGTTACATTGACCATTACATTCAGCCCTTTCTTAGACCCTAATATTTAGATGTAATCAGAAAACCAAAATTATAAATCTCAAAATCTCAGTGTCTGAATCAGGCTTTTTAACTGTTTGCATGGAGTACAGCAAATGCATCCCTGATCCTGCCTGGGCAGTGAATACTGCTGCAATACAAACAATAATAATTACATTTACTAAGGCAAAGAGGGGCAAAAAATAGAAGTCTGTTTCCATGAAATAGTGAAAGGTACAATAAAAGCCCGTTAGCTGGCATGTCCTCTTTCCCATGGAAACACCATAAAAATGAGAACCCTCTGCTGAAATAAAAGCAGTCTCTATGAAGGGAATAATTTATTTTTAAAACCGGTGGGCATCCCTGCAATCTGGGGCTGTGGTCATGGGGGCAGCTCCTTCCTGGCCGTGGCCCCCCTGGTTCCAGTGGGGCTCGGTGTGGGTGGGAATTGCTGCACACACAGACCTCTGCGCCCGATGACCGAGGTGTGAGGCATGCCCATCGGTTCTGAATAAAGCCTAACACGAACACTGGGCTAAATGTATTTAGATTACGAGTCCATTAGGGAGGCCAGCATCCTTTTGTCAATCACGTAGATGTGCAGATCTGCTAGAGCCCAATACAATGAGAATAAGAAGGCAACATCAAGAGGAGACTCACAGAGGTGAGAGGGCCCCTGGGGGTGGCTAAGGTGGGGGCAATGTTCCTGGGCGTTTGTCACCCAGAAGCAACTGGTTTTCCTGCTGTGGCACGTTGCTGCTGCTCCAGGCGCAGGACAAAACCACCCCCTCTCCCATCTCAGGGCTGGGGGTCAGGGTAGAGGATGCCTTCGTGCCTTATTGAGTTTCCAGGGTTTGCTTGGGTTTTGTACCCTTTTTTGGTTGGGGAAAATTTTAGAAGTGGTGTGAATAGACCAAACGCTATCCCGTGTGCTTTTGGGGCAGGGAGTGCATTTGTTTTCAACATTAGGGGATCTCCAGTTTACTGCCGTTTTACAACATCTGTGTAAATGGTCCTTGTCTCTCTGAATTGAATATACCTTCTACTGTAGTTTAGTAATGGATAAGGATCAATGTCTTCCTACTAAATAGATTTCCCAGTGCTGAAATAATTGCCAAAGCCCAGAAACATGTGAAGAACCTCAAGGGGAAGTGCTCAGCTTTTTGTAGTCTCTGGTCATGAGATCATTTCAGTGATTTCTTCAGTGTACTGCTTCCAGATGCTGTTCACCAACTAGGGTCTGGAATCCAGTTATATGGCATTACAAAATACGGCATTGCTCAATGGTTTGCATTATGTCCTTTGCATTACAAGTGTTTGTGGCATTTAATGGATTATAACTGATACCAACCGATGTCAGAAAAATTCTTTCAGACAGGGTTGTTGTTGTGGAAGCCATAGGATGACACCAATAATCGCTGCAAGACTAAAGAACTATTTAATAAAAATGTTTTATATAAAATACATGTAGAAAAATTACAATATTTACATGTTACTCCAACCTGCATCCACAAATAAAAATTTGCTACATTTGCCATTCAACATACAGTGAGATGAAAGGTATGATTCAGGGTGCAAATGGACTATCAGAAGCTGCTATCTCTTCCCATTCATCTTCAAACGTGTCCTGTCTGATATTGCTTGGTAATCTCCCCTCAAGATACTGTCTGGCAAGCACACCTTTGGATTATTCAGAAAGAAAATATGGTTATTTGGCATGATCCCTGTTGCGATATGGTCCGCATGCAGAGACCAAGAATATGTACATTTAGATAAAAAAAGGAAGGTAGTGCCAGGGAGCACCCCCCAAGTGACAGCGGGCATGGTGTTGGGCAGGCATGTTGAGAGTTGAGGAGAGAACACGGAGCGAAAGAATCTGCACATAATAGTTTGTCTTGGCATCAGCTGCAAGTTTGCAGAGTTCCCCACCGTTTGCTTCCAGTCCTTTCTAGCAGCCACGACTTCTACGTTACACAGATTGGTTCTCAGCCATAGGGAGGGTTTCTGACTCTTAAGCTGCCACCAGTAAATCCCAAATACTTTTTCACAGTTCAAATAGATTTTCTTTCAAACAAGCTCCTAAAATAACATTTCTTAAAAAAAAACAAAAAAACTTTTTAATATAATAAATTGCTAAAAAAAAAAATCCTCAAACCTGATAACATGGGTCAATTCCATGCTGAAGTTGAAAACCCTGGTCCATTTGCAAAGATAACCTAAAAAAGTCATTTCTGCAATATGGCAGACATCCAGATATGTAGGGAATGGCTTTGTTCTCACTAGCCTTTTCTGGCAGGCAGAAAATTTCTGAATTAAATAGTGAAATCAAAAAGAGAATTGTAGAAGTATTTTCTGTTCTCTGTTGAAACAGATGATTGGAGAATGAAGCAAACCAAAGCATTCCAGTAAACAATGAAGAATTTCACATATTTGATTTCCACTGAAAGCAGTATGTGTGACGCTATGTTAAAACAGCACACAAAAAACTCATCATTTTTGGCTTACGGCAGTGTGTTTCTTTGCCCTAACCTGTCAAAACGAGGGTATTCCTGAAATTCTTGTCTTGATGCTCAAACACAAGTATTTAAGTGAACCAACATACCTGCTTTTCTGAACACAATAAATGCAGGGACTTGTGTCTATTCATTTCCTCTTGTTGACAAAGTAGTAAGATGAACAACGCGTGTTTACTCATGAGGCCCATATGCAAGGGCTGTACAGTGATTTAATTACCAGAACGTGGAGGTGAATGTGAGGGTTCCCACGGCAACCTCAGTGTATTAAAAAATAGACAACCAGACTTTCTCCTGGCATCATTCTGTTGATGTGAAGTGACATTTGCAGAACAACTGCCTTCCTTTCCATCCTTTTTTTTTTTTTTTTTTTTTTTTCCTTCTGCCTTCTTTTTCCCCGTTTTCTCTGAATCTGGGCAAAATGCATTCATGGTGCAAATTGGCATCACTCCACTAACAGTGCTGTGGATGTGCTGATTTATGCTACCTGGCTTTTCCTGTGGATCTAGTCCACACAACTTACACTTGCAAATACTTTTTTTTTTTTTACCTTTTTTTTTTTTTTTAATATAAAATACTCCTACTCATAGAGTTAAAAAAATATAGCAGCCAGTTTTTAAAAAAATTGTGGCATAAAAAAAATTACGAAAATTTTCCACTCATTCCTAAAAATCAAATCAAATCAAAACAGCATTACCTAAATATGCAGCTCTTGTTTAAGTATGGATAGTTGTGTCTGTTTTCCTTAAAATATTAATCGTCAGGGTGTGTTATTCTGCATTACATGCTACCAAATACAGGCCAGTACAAATAAGCATGAAAGAACCATGTCATGCTTAATTTGTGGCAAATGTCTAATAGAACTCAGTATTTACAAAAAACCCACCTTTTTTCTGGATCAAGTACTTGCTGTCAACAAGTGTAACAGCAACTACATTACTGAAACTATGGGAAGCCTGGTGAAATCTTTGCAGCACAGCAATTAAGTAAATAGGCACTATCATAATGTGCTGATCAAAATACTGATTGATTTCTAAACCTCTTCTGTGCCATTTCAGCAGCTGTTTTTATGTACAATATCCTGATTAAGACAGACTAATGTGTTTACTCAAGCCATGAGGCTGAAAAATGCTTAAGCACATATTTAATTTCAAGCATGTAAATACCCTGATTTAGTCAGACTGTTCGTGTGCTTAAAATTAATTAGGTGCTTAAGTGCGCTGTTAGACGAGATGAAGACGTGCCGTTTGGGTTTCTGATGGCCTTTCAACTTGTGTAAAACTCAGGTTCGAACAAAAACTTCCAGAGCAAATTCCACAGGCGCCCAGGAAGCAGTACTTGCAAAGACTCCTTACAGGAGCTGAGATATCCAAGGCGGCGTCGCAGCGGGGACCACGAATAAAATCTGACGTCCAGTCTCAGCCTCGAGTAACCGGACCCGGAGCATCCTCCGCGCCCCCGCCCCGGCGGGGAGCATCTCTGCGGGGGTGCCGGGGGTTCGGAGGTCCTCGCCGGGCCCCAGGCCCGCAGAAAGCAGCTCCGTCCGCAGCCGCAGCCCCTTCCCGGGTGCCGGGAGCGCGTTCGGCACGGGCAGACCTCGCGCTGCGGGAGCTGAGAAAGGGGGGTCTCGCAGTGTCGGCGTTGCTACAGTGTTGGCTTATTATCCCCTGCTTTGTAGAATTTTAAGCTGGTCCTGGCTATGAAAACTGGCTCCTTTGGAGCGTGGCTTTTCACCTTTTAACCAATCATGAAGGCTCCAAAAAAACTTGCTTCTTTGTCCATGTCAACTATGTCACCATTACTGACAGAGACAAAAATCCTGTCCTCTCTTTTCAGCTGAAACACACCGCCTTGGTAGATGGAGTAAAGTCCGTATTCTGCCTTTTTAGACCAGCAGCTTGTTCTTGCACTTTTCATGAGCAAAATGGGCTCTGGGTAATTAGTCAGTTTGTAAACATACTGGACAAGTTGTTTGGGGTTCCTGATTTGTGCCAACAAATCTGAATCCTCGTTCTCGTTTTCACGGAAACGAAAATAAATTTGTGAGTAGATGTAATAAAAGCCCGTTTGGGGTATCACTAACTCGCCATTTCTCAGCTCCACATTGTAAAGGAAAGAGTGACCTTTCCTTGACGATTCCCAGTTGTTTATTTTTGTCCGTTCCCTCTTCTGGGCGAGGAATCTACTTGAGAAAAAAAAAGAGAGAAAATGCTAAATTAAAAGCCAGGTAGTGAAGCCAGGTGTCTGCTAGCTGGGGAATCTGGTTTTCAGTAGCAAACTAAGGAAACCTGCTCTTCCCAGCAGTTCATTAGGTCCATTCTCAAAACAATTTGAAGGCCCAGAAGATGTTTAGCTCTATGTAGGAATTCACATGAATACCTTTAATTTTATGCGCTCTCCAATAAGAGAAAAATCATGTTGTTACTTAGTAACAAAGTTAAAATACCCATTTGTGTCTGATACTCTCCAAAGCTGTAGAAACCCTACCAAGCCTTTTATTAATATGGCCTGAATGTCAAGTCTCTCCTGTCTCTGTCTCACATTTCTAATAGCTCTGTCACCGTAGCAGCTGGGACTCGCACAACTGATGGAAAGAAATTAAAGGAAAGAGGAAAACTTAACATTAGGAAGAAGGATTTTTTTTTTTTTTTCCCCCTAAGGAAGGTTCCAGAAGGAAAGTTAGGGAGGTACCCACAGGGAATGGGCCTCCTCCCTGTTCTGAAAGAATTAGCTGGAAAAAACATTGTCTGGGACAAGAAGACTTTCTTATGCTTGCTTTCTTACTATTAACTCAATGAAAGTATTGAGAAGTGTATGTAGGCATGAGGCTGGCAATGAGAGAGTAATTTTTGTGATCTTTAACTGTTTTTAAAGGTTTTTCCTTACTGCGTGGGGACAGGGAATTCTTCCTATTGCTGTTGCCCGTCAGATGCGCCGCGATCCTGTTGCCGGGGCTGCGCGGCTGCTGCCCGTCGGTGCGCGACAGCGTCAGGGCTCTTTCAGCTACGGACAGACCAGAGACAGAAGCCCACGTTAGAAGCAAGGCTGCTAGAAAGTACGTCTGTCCCAGTTGACCTGATTTTAAGGAACGGGTATGACGTTTTTTTAATTGACCAGATCATAGACCGAATGGTGTATACGGGCTAAAAAGGCTCAAATTTCTCTTTCATGCTTGCTCTCCTTGCAATGTCTTTATATGCCTTTTTGTTCTCCTTTTTCTCCTCCCCCCACTACAAAGTTACCAACAGACAACCTAAAATAACCCACAGTACCAAATTTTCATATTCATAATCAGTATCTTTTATGGTTAAGTATTCATAATCTTTACTCTGAATTTCCACTTGCAATGCTTTTGCTTTTGCTCACCATGTTTAGAGCTGTACGAGCTTCAGCAGAGCTATTCCTAACTGACCTGTGCGTACAGCACAGTGCTACCTGTTCCCAGGAGAGCAGAATGCTTAAATGTCCCCATAAACACCGGGACTGAGGTCTAGAAGCTGAGTTCTCTGCACCCACCTTGGTTACCCTTGCTCTAACCACTTGACCATATTTCTGGCTCCTGAAAATTTGCCTTCCTGTAACAGTTAATTATTTTTTGATGACCTGCTGCCAGTACAAGATCTTAGTCAGTGTTCTCTGCACTTCTGAAAAATTAATTGAGTCACTACACATCAGGTGCCACTAGCAGCTCCTTTTTGCCACGGTTGATAGTAAAATTATAATACCGTTGACTGCAGATATGTTTTCCTCATAGCTTCTTGAAATCATCTGCCAAAAAACACACAGAAAACAAATTAGTTTGTCAGCAGAAACCCATAGGTGCAGGAAAAAGACACTCCTTTCTCAAACTCATGAATAAAGGGTATTCTGGACTTGATCAACAAGCAAATTAAAAAACCCCTATTAATTTGTTGTAATAAAGTATTTCTACATTTACATCTTTTATGTAATGAAATACGTGGGAAAACACTTTCAAGAGAGCTCAGCCATCTGGGCTTTAAGTCTATGGGAAAATTTGATCCTCATGCTTTCCTCAAATAAGAGACAGAGTGTACAACCATCAGCTTCTGTTTGCAGAACACCTGGCAGTGTGCACTTCTTGGGATCTGAGCTCTGAGAAATTAAATTTCATTTATTTTTATACCTTTACCTATCTATCTATCTAAGGTCTCGAGCCAGCATATCTTACTTTGTGCATTCCCTTTCTTTATAACTGTTTGCTCACTGCTGAAATGAACTACTTTGGTTACTGAGGGTGTTGCAGCTGCAGCAAGAGTGCTGATGGCTTGAGATGGTTTACCTGGTGCCTAACATGGGCCTTGTATTGCCACTTACTGATGGGTTCTGCCCTGCCACATTTCTATTTATTTATCTATCCATCCATCTATATTATTATTATTATTATTGTTGTTGTTGTTACCGTCATTGTTATCATCATCATTATCATTTATTATTTCTGTCACCCAGGCTATTTTTCTTTAAGCAATCAGAGAGATGGTAAGTATATTAGATGCGTTAATGTCCACCAAATAAAACAGTGTTTTCTTTATGCAGAATTTCAGGAACTTTACCAGCAGAACTTCCACCAAAGGAACCGAGATCTCTGAATACAAATAGAGGATCTATTTTGGGCTGCAAGATTTGCCAGGTAAGTTTCAGTCAGATGTGAATTTTTAAGGATGAGGTTTTTTATGTGGTGGAGATGGGATTTTGAAAATTGTTCCAGAACGTTTTAGCCTTTCTGATTTTTCAGCCAGGCTTATTTTCTCCTCTGTAGCCAAAATTATATGTATTGTGTGCAAATCATGCAGAAGACGGTGTTCTCTGAATGCTGAGCTGGGAAGGTGCTGTGCCCGATGCTGTGTGCTCACTCACTTGTTCCTCCCCTCATACATGACACAGCTCATGACTAGAACACTCTTCAGGCACCTTTTTACGTCTCACCATTTTACATTTAATCTCATTTTCCCATGACAGTATCCCCGTATTTCCAGAGACGGGGTGATACCTCTGCTGGCACTAAGATCTGTATGGTCAGGTAGAAAGCAAGCTCAGGTCAAACACTTCTACCCTGAGGTATTTCAGACAAGCCAACCTATCACTGAAATTCACTTAGTAAAAACTGATTGTCTTTGCTTTATTATTTCCTGAATGCAGTGAAACCACTGTCATGGGTTATTTTCGCTTCAGTGCAAGCACTCTGCAGCTGAAGCTGTGGCTTGACTATAGCTTTGCAATAAAATAATCCGGGAGCCCCCTCTTTATTCTGCCGTTAGGATTCTTTGAACTGTAGTATCACCAAGCACACTGTTTCAGTGTGTCGGTTCCCAAATACCTTTTTAATTAACTTTCCCAGGTGCCACTTTACTTGCCAGCAGGGATCAGCCGCTCTGTCTTCACTTTCAATTAGATCTGAGTTTTGGATGAAATTTCCGATTTCCTCCCCGGTGAGACAAGCAATGCCGCTCTTGGAGTACGTGTCCCGGAGCTGCAGCAGAAGCAAAAGCCAAGATTTTTCACCTGTGCTCGCAGATGTTCAGCTGTGGTATGTCACTAAATTCACTATGCTTAGGAACATGCTTGCTTTCTTTTCTTTAAAGCATTTTCTAGTATGGTGCAAGTTATGACTATATAGACAGCACAAGTAATTCTCCCTGATTTTACATATTTATTTAACGATGATGGCATACCTCATATGCAAAAATATACTTACATTATCTCCATGGACATAAACTTGGTATCCAGCACTCAACTAAATAAGCTTTGTGAAAATTCAGTCCCCAAATCACTAACGTTGTGAATTCTTTAGTTTCTCTAGTTCTGCACTGAAAACATTTCTCTAGCACAAGGGATTTTTCTTCACAAATTATTAAGGATGAAATCAAATACCAGACCTTAAAAGTATTTTCCATTCTGTTTTTTACAGTTCAGGCTTTTGCTGATATATATCCATACCGTATCCTCCCCATATTCAGTTTGGGGTCTCTCTGTAACTGTATTTGATTTAATAGTCCAGAATGAAGTCCAGACAACAGAAATTACATTTGGGTCCAAATAAAATTGTAATGCTGAATGCTTGTGGCATGGGCCTATGTCTATACCCTCTAGTCCTAGAGAAAGCACATTTTCTTCTGATAAATTCTTTTGAAAAGAGTGGCAAAACTCCTGTAGGCTCCAAGGGAATCTGACTGGGAGAGCTTCCATCCTAGCGAGAAAAGCTCTTCCCAAGCCCCACACAACTCCAGCTGGCGCTGTTGTTTTGTGTACGGGCACCCAACGTGCTGCCTCCTGCACAGGCCAGCAGAGATCAGCTCCTCTCCGCTTTGCTGCATCAGCTGTAAAGGCTTGTTGGGCCAGCAAAGGACTCCAGGAAACTGGAAGCAGCAGCGATTGGCACTAAACGTGCAAAGCATTCAGATGGACTTCTGGTTTAACATTTACATTTCACTCTTCTTATGCTAAAGAAGTTTGGTTTGGTTTGCTAAACAAGTACGTTTATTCTACAAGTACCAGTTTCAGCTGTCCTTGAGACTGGGGTATTGAAAGCAACAAAAGGAGTCACCTCCTCCCTCACACTCCATGCTTTCCAAGCTTGCTAGAAAACAAAGGCATTTAGGAAGAGATTTCCCACCCCAGGAGGATTAGAACTCACCCATACTATCCTGCAAATCCTACCGGGTTGAACAGCACCTTCAGTTTGCAGCAGCAGAGTCTATTGAGCTTCATCTATTACTTGAAGTGATTTTGTATTTTGTAGGCATCAGAGTGAAATGGGGCCACCACTACAAGTATTTGTGTAGGTTTCTGTGTCTTTGTGAAGGTTTTTGTGTCTTTGCTGAGTACAGTGATATGCTTAAATCAAGTTTCTTGTTTCAAGGACTCAAAGTGATTAAAATTATGTGTTTATTAAGGTACAACTGCACTTAAAACTAAGGACTCTGACAGATTTAATTATACTAGCTCCTAAAACAAACTAGTTTGATGAGTCTTAAAAAAAAAAAAAAAAAAAAAGTGAGCAGTTGAGACGTTACTGTTTATTCTCTTGCCAGATCTGCTGCAGGCCACCTCTAAGCTTTGCCCTTCAGTCTGAAAGCAAACAGTCCTGTGCTTCTGCCTTCTCCTTACCTGCATACTTTTTCCCCAAACAGCTTTACTGTCCTGGCTTTGGAACAGTATTTTGCATGCATTTTTAAATCCTCAGGGAATGAAACCTTCTATCAGCACCGTATGATAGCAAAGGTTTGGTATCTCTGTTTTATGGGCAGAGAAAGCAAAGCACCGGGGTGTTGTAAGACTTACTCAAATGAGGTTTATCTCTAGCACTGAAGTCTTTGTGGACAGAAGTCCTGCAGGAATACTATCTTTTAAAGCTTCTCTCCTATTCTGGGAGTAGTGCATGGACTATGTTTTCAAAACAGAAGGAAGTCTGAGGATATTTTCTTTGCAGCCCTGTATCCTGAAGCATAATGAACTTTATTGTGCTTGTCCCTCAGCACTTCCTCCCATAGCAAAACTGTTAAACAAATGGTCATATTTGTAATCCTACTCAGATTACTACAGCTGTAAAGATAAAAAACCCTGCCAGTTATACATTATTCTTTTTGTAAAAATAAAAATATCTGCAGTCTGTGCAGCAATAGTAATTTTGTGAAGGTGTAGAAATGCTGATATTGTGAACAACAACGGGAGGAAAAATGGGCTGACAAAAATCACAGTTTATCTTTTGAGATTTATTCCACGTGCACCACGTGGATGTGGGGTGGCAGACCGTGTTTCTAGATAAGTTTTTACTTGTTTATTGTGCACCAGATGGCACACGCAAGAATATGTGCTTGAGGTACCCCCCTCCAGTGCCAGCAGCCTTACTTTGTAGGCCAGCAGAACTTTGGTGTGGGCAGATTTAGCCTTTCACACCAAATGTAGGCATGTTATTCTTCAGAAACAGCAAATTGTATTTTGGGCAAGTATCACTACATGTGGTTGTGTCCCAGGTGTACATATTTGAATAAAAGGGAAAGGTAAGTGTGGTTACTAATTGCTTAGATTGGCAAACTGGTTAGGGAAGGACTCTAAACCATATATGCACGAAGAGATGGGAAATCATTTATATATTTTTCTTCATTAGCAGTATTATGTAAGCTGATTTCATAAAATCAACACATTTCTGTGACTCTCCCATTTCCCCAAATATGGGACAGCCACAGCTATAAACTTAGCAGGAAAATCTGTTTCCAAAGTGTAAGCAGTGGCTCGTATTGTAGACTACTGTATACCCTCCAACATTTGCTTCACAGAGGACTTTGACATCTCAGAAGACTCCACTTATTAAATGTGATGTGGAACAAATGCACAGGTGACATAATATTTTACATTTGTGCAACACTTTCTTAAGTTGTAGAACTACAGCACACTTACCTGCAGTTTACCTTTCTGCCAGGGAGAGCAACACACTGGTACAACTTACAGCAGGACAGCAAATACGGGGCAACGCTCAGGGAAACCCTGAGTACTGGGGGTCAGTGAAAAGCAGGACCACGCACAAAAAGGCTCATGAGACTATCAACTAAATGTAATTTTCTGTGATCTTTTGCAGGAAGAGGAAAGAGTTAATCAGCAACCAGCAGGCTTGAAGGGTGGCTGCAGGGAGACCAAAGCATCTAGACTACACAATGGGTATTTTACAGGTCATTTTGAGTAATTCAGTGGTGTTTGTCGTCTGGGTAAAGTTCCTTTGGGATTAGTCAGTTTTAACACTAAGTATTTTTCTAGAGGAGGCATTTAAAAGGCACCTCAGTCTTTTTTTTTCCCTGTCGTCCGTATGAACACCCAGCTGACAGAGGCTGCTGTGAGAATCCTCCCCGCGCTGCTGAGGTTCCTGCAGTGCCGATGGGGCACCGCGATGTGACAGGACAGCAAGTTTGGTGCTCTAATGAAAAGCATATTTGCTACTCCTCTGCAAAAATGCGTAACTTTACGGAAAAAAAAAAAAAAAAAAAAAAAACAGGCAAAAACTTTTAAATTGTTCTTGTCTTGAGCTCCATCCCCCGCGTGCGTGTACCCACGGCCCAGGGAAAGCCCGGACAAAGGAGCAGGCGGACACGCAGGGAAGTTCTTTGTCTGCGGAGGGGGGGTGGCTCTACCCTCCTCAACAAACGCGCAAACCTGCGCCTCTCAAGTTTCTGCTTGTCCTTCCTTCCCTCGGCCAGGAAAAAAAAAAAAAAATAAAAAAAAAAATAAAAAGGAGAGAAAGGGAAGGCGCGGGGTCCCCTCCCCGGTCGACCCGCCCCCCCACCGACCTGTTGGAGCTCGTTGGTGAAGTAGAGGAAGGTGACGGCCACGCAGACGGACTGCAGGAGCACGGCGGCGACGAGCACGGCCCCGCAGGTCTGCCCGGGGCTGGGGCCGGCCGCGGGCAGCATCATGGCCGGGGCAGCGCTCCGCTCCGCGCTCGGCAGGCTTTTCCCTCCGGGGGAGGAGCGGGTTGGGTTGGGCCGGGCTCGGGGTTCAACCCGGTGCGGCCCCCGGCTGCCCGCACCCCCCGCCCCGGCTGCCCGCCTCCCCGGCAGCCCGGGCCCCGCGGAGGCGAGCGAGGAGGGCGGGACCCTGCCTCCCCCCGCCCCGCCCCGCCCCATCCCATTCCATCCCACCCTGCCTCCCCCCGCCCCGTCCCATCCCATCCCATCCCACCCTGCCTCCCCCCGCCCCGCCCCGTCCCATCCCATTCCATCCCACCCTGCCTCCCCCCGTCCCTCCCCGTCCCGTCCCATCCCACCCTGCCTCCCCCCGCCCCGTCCCATCCCATTCCATCCCACCCTGCCTCCCCCCGCCCCGCCCCGTCCCATCCCATCCCACCCTGCCTCCCCCCGTCCCGTCCCATCCCATTCCATCCCACCCTGCCTCCCCCCGTCCCGTCCCATCCCATTCCATCCCACCCTGCCTCCCCCCGTCCCGTCCCATCCCATTCCATCCCACCCTGCCTCCCCCCGTCCCTCCCCGTCCCGTCCCGTCCCACCCTGCCTCCCCCCCGTCCCATTCCACCCCACCCTGCCTCCCCCCGTCCCATTCCACCCCACCCTGCCTCCCTCCGTCCCGTCCCGTCCCCCCCGCCTCCCCCCGTCCCGCCGAGCCAGGCGGCTGCCGCCGCGGCGGGGGGGTGGTTGGGGGGGTGGTTGGGGGGGTGTGTGGGGGGGGTGGGCTGTGCGGGTCCTGCCGGGGTCCCTGCCTGCCCTCCCTCCCCACCCTCCAGCTGGGGGATTATTTCTCAGCCGTCGCGTTGCAGAGCATTTCTGAGCAGCCTTTCTGACCCATCTCCACTAGGGAATGGGGAAAATAGGATGTTTTTTGAAAGAGATTGAGGCTGTGGTTAAGAGTAGGGAGGGGCCCAGGGTTTGAGTCCTGACTCCAGGCTGGGTTATCCTTCTCTATAGCTTCTCCCCTAGAGCTGGTGTGTCGCAGAAAGCACCTGTGGGCCGATAACCTGCACCACACCTGATGCCATTGCAACCTCTCAGACAGCACTGCTTCTCCTCCTGGTCATGACATGTCACGGTACATGAATGCCAGGTATGTTTTGGCTTTCATAGAATCCTAGAATGGTTTGAGTTGGAAGGGACCTTAAAGCCCATCCTGCCCCAACCCCCCTGCCCCGGGCAGGGCCCCCTTCCCCCAGCCCAGGGGGCTCCCAGCCCCGTCCAACCTGGCCTGGAACCCTTCCAGGGAGGGGGCACCCACAGCTGCTCTGGGCACCCTGGGCCAGCACCTCACCCCCCACACAGGGAACAATTTCTTCCTTATGTCTAACCTAAATCTCCCCTCTTTCAGTTTAAAACCATTCCCCCCCATCCTATACCCACACCCCCCAATCCAGAGTCCCTCCCCACCTTTCCTGTCCCCCCTTTAAGCCCTGGGAGGCCGCTCGAAGGGATCCCCGGAGCCTTCTCTTCTCCAGGCTGAACCCCCCCAACTCCCTCAGCCTGTCCTCACAGGGGAGGTGCTCCAGTCCTTTGATCATCTTTTTTTATCTGAAGTTACTTTTGGGTTTGGTTGGTTGGTTTTCAAACCTCTGAGACTCCTTCTTGCAAACTTTTCTCCAAACTGTTGAGCCCAGATAGAAGTTTTCCGAAGGCATGTTCGTGTTTGAGGATGTGTCCATTGACTTTCACTGGGGTTTTGATACCTTCATCTCACACAGACTGTGGATGATAAGGAACTTCATAGTTTTCTGCAGATGTTTTAAAATCAGCGGAGGTAGCACCGGTATGGTCTGCTGACAGTGCAGCCATCGAAAATTGAGATTTCAACTCCAAGAGCAGAGACTTGAGTTAGTTCACCTTCATGCTGTTGATGCAGGGCAGTATGAAATTTTGGCCCCTGCCCAACATCCATAACCTGAGTGCTAGGTTGGAGTTCTCAGTAAAACTACAGGGCAAAATTAAAACAAAGGTCTCTTCATCTCTCTTGACTACCAAGAAGATCTTTAGAAGATGAAACTGCATTATATTGGACCTTTTACAGGGAAATTGTTTTTTCTTCCATCATAATGTAGCAAAATGATCCCCAAATCCCTATTTAACGTGGCAACAGGCAGTTTATTTGCAGCATTCAATCTGTGTGCCAAAACAGTTCGGATCTGTGTAATTCCAACACATATGTCAGATGGGGACGATTAACATTTTATTGAAAGTGAGTTCATGATCTCCTCCTATGACTTCTGAGCAAAGTAAATGTGACATTTTGGGCTCCTCCTGCTTTGCATCATCCAGACCCCTTTCTGAGCAGGGCTGGTGGGATTCGACTTCTACTTCATGCAAAGTAGCTCTCTGCATCAGCTTCAGAACAGGAGTTTCTGATAGGCTTTAGCACATGCACAGAAGAATATTACAAAAAAAATCTTCCTCCTACTTTGTTTATCATAGTTCATAGATTCCTAAGAAAGAAATTTCATCTGAGGGAGCCATGTGACGAGTCAGTTAAAAGGTGGTAAACTGACTTGGAGGAAGAATCCTGCCTGCTGAAGAGAGTTTGTGTGGATTTTCATTCCAAATGTTCAGGGAGGTCCTATCCCCTTTGAAGGAAACAAAACTTCTTTCAGTGTTTCCTTTCAAAGAGAATAGAAACAAATGTGAAAGGAAGTCCAGGACACTACAGAGCACTCTTGTTGTTGTTCACATTTAGGAGCTCATCTTTATTCTCTTTTTTTCTTTCAACCTCTTCACATGTTTCTCCACAACCTATGACTTGTAACCGAACTTTTTTTGTGGGTAAACATACCAATTCATGAAAGATCTTTTCAAGAGCCACGTACTCAGCTTGTAGATATCTACCAGGCATGGTCCATATCCCCTTGACCCATCATTTTAAATCCTCCATGGATATTCCTTATGTGTCTGATTAAATATTTGTTTAGGGCCAGTGTTGTAAGGCAAAATTAACGACGTTTGTTTTGAAAAGAACAATGGCGAAAACAATGAAAAGCTCATCAAACCTATCCCTTTCAAAAATGATCATGTCACATTTCTTTCTAAAGTTTTCAGATCTTAAAATCTCATTGTAAAATTATAAATGTTTATGGGTTTCCACACTGACATAAGATACTATGAGAGTGAAACTCAAATCATTTTCACCACTGAATACACTTGAAAGACTTTGCTACTTTCAATGCTTACCTTTCCACAGTCAATTTTTGTCTCTAGTAAGTGTAAACTTATACTGAAAAGAATTTTTTTCAAAGGTTCTGAGAGTGTAAAATTACTGTTTTGATGAAATTTTACCTCCGTAAAACTGTGAGGTCATGACACCAGTGGAAAGGAATGTTGCTAGAGCCCGTTTAAATAAAACCAAGTTCTGTGTATTTGTGTAGCGCTAGACCGAAGCAGCTCCCCAGCAAAACCTCTGGTTGCTCCTGGCTCCTTCATCCTATTAAAGCTTACTTGGTGAACCATTTAATTAGAGATAAACCTTAATCTGTCCTGTGGACTCAGGACCTTTGTTACTTGGCATGTCGAGGAAACACCTGGCAGTGGACCTGCCATACTTCTCTCCCAGCAGTATGACTAGTAGGAATCTGTAATGGCTCTGAAAATGTATAAAAATTAAAGGAAGGGAAAAGTGTCTTGAAAAAGTCCTTAATCCTCGTTCCTCACTGATTGCAGTAATGGGAGTGATGTTTTCAGAGTAGGACAGAGGTTCAAATGTGTATAAATATATACTTCTCCCAGTGATGTGGGTGGCTGTTACTGCCACTGCTGCCACCCCCCGCCAGCCCCAGCACAGCACAGCTGTGCTCATTTTCCAAGTCAGAGAAAGCAGAGTTGACTTTCTGGTATGTAGCAGTTCTCGACATTGATTTCTCTGCTGAGCAGCAAAGGAGGTTGTGTTTTGCATCACAGGTAGCAAAGCATGTAATTGTAGCACTGCAGTTGCAGAGAGGGAGTTGAGCCATGCTGGAGAGGAGAGCAGCCCCACGGCGGTGCTTTCTGACTCTAGTTTTCCACCTCCTGGGAGTGTGGAGTAGATTGAACTTTTTGTCACCAAAGATGCTGTGACCACTTGAGTCTTCCCTCCCACACTAACACCTAAGTTAGGTACCGGATTCCCACCAGGAGACATCTGAATGCTGCCGTTGGTTTGGGCTTTGCTACTCCTACTCCTTGGTTAGTTCCTACCATGGAGCCATCGGATATTGGGCTGTAAGTGCACTGTAAGAGATTGCTGTGTCTGCTCTGCTCCCCGGAGGGAAGGGGCAGTCCATGCCCACTGCATGCGTGGGGCACTGCCACGTTCTGCCTCAGGGGCACAGGCCATGAACAGCCTCCTCCTGTCAAGCCTCCCAGTTAAGCCAGCACAAAAAGCATGGTTTGCACCAGCCAGTGCAGAGTTAACCTTGCACAGTGGTCCTCTTTTCTGCACATGTGCCAGACAGATCACATCTTGGCTCTTGAGGTTTGTTCATTCCTTTGTGGTCCATGCGCCAGATTCAGACCTCATGTTTTGCTGTCCGTTGCAAACCATTGCAAATTCATGAGTTAATCATGATTTATTTTAATCATGGGATCAGAATGAGGATCTATTTATCAGTGGGATGCATTTTTTGCCTGTGGTATTAGACAAACAACAGCAATGGTCTAGCTGGCCCAAAATGCACCTATAAATTAATTTATTCAGACCTGTCGTCTCTCTTTCAATGCCCGGAGTAGTGGATTTGATAAATAGAGCAGGGAATATATGTGCATACATATGCCACATTCATTTCCAATAACGCTGTAGCATTAGCACTCTAGATAAAACTTTGGATCTCTTATTTTTAATTGACAAAATACTTTTGCCTGTTAATGTACTGTATATATTTTAAGCTTTTTTATTATGTCAGTTATATAGGGGTACTTCCAACAGTATAGTGTCCTTTATGAGCACTCTTCATCTTTAAAAGAATTAGTACTTCTTTAGCTTTCTACAAAAAGTTTGTACTTAGAAATCCAGTTCTTGAGTAGAACAGAAGTAGTGGCAGCAGTAGTCTCCACATTTGTACACCTTCATAAGATCATTAACCATGGATTTGAGGTT